TAACAATATGCGTTTTGTACTGCTGTTACACAGCACAAAACGCATAAAAAAATCACTGGCGACGCGCACTGCGCGGGTCCATGCGATCATGCGTAATAAGATCACTCGAGATTCCGCTAGCTAGAAACCTCTTGTACATACTGATTCTCGAATTTCGGGAAGTTAATTATCCACGCTATACTTGGACAGGGAACATTCCCTTGAAATCCCAAGTTCCCAGCTTTCTTAGTTCACGAGTTACCCAAATTCTAACCGGAAAATTTCACGAGGCCGTACGTGGCAACCACGCACAACGGGGGGGGGGATGAATTTAATAAATCTAAGTTGTAGATGAGTTGGGAACATTTCCTGAAAGTTTCAACCTTCCAGCTTTCCTGGTTCCGGAGTTAGCCATTTTTCCGCCAAAAACTTTCACAGGGCCGTACGTGGTAACCACGCACAACGGGGAGTTGAATTTGATAAATTTAAGTTGTAGATGAGTTGGGAACATTTTCTGAAAGTTTCCATCTCCCAGCTTTCTTGGTTCCCGAGTTAGCAATTTTCGCGCCAGGAACCCCCACGGGGCCGTACGCGGGAAAGGCGCACACCTGGAGGCTGAATTTAAAATCTTTGAGTTCTATATGGACGGGGAACATAACCCCAAAATCTCAGCTTTCTAGCTTTTCTGGTCCCCAATTTAGCGATTTTCCCAAAACTTTGAGGCGCTCACACGCGGGGCCTAGACGCGCCGACGCGCTTGAGGACTGGTGCCGCGGCCCTGCTGTGGCACTTGGCCGGGAAACCCACTCGCAAAATTTTGGCGCCGGAGCTCGCTTGGGTGCCGAGTTGAAACACCCGGACAGACAAACACACACACCGGGGTCATCACAATATGTATTTTTGCATACATGCAAAAACGCATAAAAAAAAAACTTACTGTCTGCAGCTGATATCATCCTGCTACAGAAAGCGCACCTTCCTGCCACTTCAACGAACAGCTGCAATTGTACTCGTTAACAGTTACATTAAGCAACAAAGCGCTGCCTAGCCAACCACTTTCACATCTTCCTCATTTACAATTACTGCAACCGGAAACTAGAAGAACCCGAGACACCATGAAATCAGCTGCAATGTGCATCACCGGAGGGGAAGAATCTTTGCCAGCCTGACACCCTGCTGCATCTTTGAACGAGCACGAAGCCATCTTCTGCCCCTTCTCCCCCCTTCCAATCAATCATCAGCAGCAAAAAGCTAAGAAGACCGAACTCGGCTTATACAGAAAGGAATTGAAATTGTAGAAGGCGCAGGTGAAAGCGAACAGTCATCAAGGGTTGCCTTCCCATGCCCAAAGTCGACTTATCCGAACAGTAAACATCTCCTCAATGAATCCCGATCACCA